CGCCTCCCCCAGAGGCTTTCCCTTTACCAGCAACATCAATCCCTTCTAATTGCTCAGGTCCCAGCTTGACGAAGCATTTAGAAAGCGTACTTGACTCCATCCCAACTCAGCAAGGCAATTAAATGCACTCATAAATCCTCCTGAAGTAAATGAGACTTAATCGTAGGCTTAAAGCTCAGCTGAATCCAGGCCCCAGCAGCAGGGCAAGTTTCCCTTCACCTCCTTCCCAGCTGTGCGTGGCTGTCACATGCTGCGGCGCCTTGGGCCGAGCTCATCGCCCCGTCCCGTCTCGCTCTCCTCCAGCCCTTCCCTGGTGTCCCTTCGCCTCCACGCCGAGGGTCACACGTACCCGCTGCCCTGCTGGGTCTCCACTCCCTGGGACAGAAACCCCTGAGAGCTGCAGGTTGGGAGTGTGCATGGTGGGGGTCTGAGGGCATGGTGACACAGGGGATTTCACCGAATCCCAGACTGGCAGGGGTTGGCAGGGCCCTCCAGAGATCACCCAGTGCCACCCCCCTGCCCAAGCAGGCTCACCCAGAGCAGGGGGCACAGGACAGCGTCCAGGCGGGGGTTGAATATCTCCAGAGAAGGAGACTCCACAGCCCCCCTGGGCAGCCTGGGCCAGGGCTCGGTCATCCTCAAAGTCAAGAAGTTCTTCCTCACGTTCAACTGGAACCTCTTCTGCTTCAGTTTGTGCCCATTGCCCCTTGTCCTGGCCCTGGGCACCACTGGGAAGAGTCTGGCTCTGTCCACCCTTCAGATATTTGTAAGTGTTGATGAGATCCCCTCTCAGCCTTCTCTTCTCCAGGCTGAACAAGCCCAGCTCCCTCAGCCTTTCCTCATAGGAGAGATGCTCCAGTCCCCAGACTTCCTCCTCTTGAGGCTGGTGTCAGAGTTAATGGGATGCCTACGCACTGGCAAACTCTTGGCCAGGAGGAAACCACTTTGGGTTGGAAGCTCTGAGTGGAGCTCACTGGCCTTCGAGTCCTTTCCCTCAAGACTGCTTATAGACCCTCACGCTGTTCTTGTGGTCCCTCCCGGATGCCAAGTTCCTCCACGAGAGGAACAAGAGAGTTCCTTGGTGCTCCAGAGCTACCAGGCTCCTCTAATGCTCTGCAAAACAAGAGAACGTAGATTTGGAGATGGAGGGGCACTGCCAGGAGGTGCGACGCCCGACCAAGTCCAACCAGGCCCAGAGGAGCAGGTGTCAACTGCCCAAGTTCAGTACACGGCGAAGACCTTCCCCGTGTCCCTCCCGTCCCCCTCATCAAACCGAAAGGCAAATTGAGGAAGCCATGAACAAACACTTCTCAGCCGGTCTTAGCTTCTGGACAGACAACGCGAGGACGTAAGAGGCTGTTTGCTTGTTCATAAATCATGAGGTAATGGTTAATGCGTTGGGTGTGGGTTGTGCCTTTGCTTCCCACCCTCACGCTGCCATTCCCTAACTGCCTACAGAGCTTGACCAGCACGTGGAAATTAACTCTTACCAAAAAGTTTAATTTTCAAACACCTTTAGACAGAAAGGGACACGTCTGGGAAGATGGTGGCAGCAGGAAGGACCTCCAGCTCATAATGCTTTTTTTTTTCCCAGTTAAACAGGTAACCTGGCCACCAGCTGGATCTGCAGAGGGAGCTCTTTATTTTGTGTAGGAAGGCCCAGAGTTAATCAAGTTTAATAAATGACCGATGGCTTCAAGACACTCTGGTTGGGGCAGCTGTTTCGCCAGGTCAAAGGCTTTCATCCCCAGCTCGCGAGCCTGGAACGAAGCAGAAAAGACAAGGCCACCATCAGGAATTTGGCTTTTCTCAAGGGGTAGTTAAAATACCCACATAGACTTGGGGGAGGAGCTGCACGGGAGCAGATCCAGACCCCAGCCGCTCAGCCGCAGGCTCCCGAGGGTGACCCGCACAAGCTGCTTTGCAGGAGAGAGTAAAGCTGCCAGCAGAGATCACATTTGGGACCCAGGGGTGCAGACAGAAGGGATTGCGAACCCCAGCCCCCGTGCTGGAGATCATCACCTCCCATCCAAGACAGCGGCTCCTCTGGACATTCCCAAAGCTCCTTCAGGAAAAAAAACAGCTGTATTGACTCAAACTCAGCTAAATCCCTCATTTCCCTTGGTAGCTCTTCCAGGGATTGGACATCCTCACAATTATAAAGCCGTGCCTTTTCTCTAATTTCAATTTGTTTCCTTGTGTCTTCCAAACACTGACGTTACAGCTTTCCCTGATACAATGAAGTGTCGTTCGCATTTTCACCACCTGAAACCCAGACAGAAGGAACTGAGGCTTCTGAGCGCCCAGCCCGAACAGAGGCATCCAATTTCCAGATGGTTACTGCTCAGCACGTCCTCAAAATCAATGATTTTTCAGGCAGAGAATGGGGCACTCTGCAGTTAGCAGTCGCACCTGCAACTTTTAGCCAATAAAATAACAGAGTTGCAAACTCCAAACTGAATTATGGGGTCCAATGGAGTGACCCTACATTAATATAATGGTAATTAACAGGGAGTCTGGCTCAAGGAGAGGCACGTCCAAGGCCCACACCTGACCTGATGTCTAAACACAGCCAGGATATCGCAAAGGATGAAGCTGGGAAACGTGGGTACCTACAGGATTGACTGAGGATGGCCTGGCAGAGACCAGAGCAGACCCAGGGGGCTTTGTTAGCCTTGACAGAGCGCAGATCGCGAGACAGCTCCATGCAGAGCTGCGGCGGCAGCTTTGTCCTCGGTCACCCAGCGCTGCGAGGCCGTTGCGGACTCAGGATTGGTGCCAGGTGAACCCAGGCAAGTGGTTTCACGAGACAGGGCAAGCACTGAAACAGAGGTAGGGGACTCTCTGACTCTTTCACCAGGAGAAACTTACCTTGGAGAAATCTGTGGTCAGGTAATAAAGCATGGCAAGAGCATGCAGAACTCTGGCAGTTTCCCCAGGCTGCTGCTTTGGTGCCTGTTCTCTGACATCTAACACTGCAGCCAGTACTCGGGTTGCTTCTGCTTGCTGGGCTTCAGCTGCATGGAGGGTGAAATCGACTCATTGGATGGATGTATGCATGCAAGATAATATATTCAAAACTGCCCAGTTATCTCTTCTAGACACCAAAGCATTGCGACTACAAGCATCAACATGGTATCAACACCAGCTCCATGCAAATTCCATGCCCATTAACAGATATCTTTTCATCTGGGCAGTAATTGTGCTGATTAGCCTTTAGTAAGGATGTGGAGTCATAACAACTGCATGAAAAGAGCCACCTTCAGACTCCTGTCATAACTGGGGACGGTAGTGTGTGGCCCTGTCTTGGTGTGTTTCTGACTGGATGGAGACAGTGCCAGGCCAAGGGATTTACAGGGACGTTTCTCTTCTCTGACAATATTCTCATTAGCACAGATGGTAGGAAGAAGACAAGGACCCGAGTCTAGCCTGACCCCAGTGGAGCGTAGGGTAGTACCACGCGTATTTCCTACTGCTTTGTGTGCCTTTATATCGCAGTGAGAGACTCCCCAGCTTCTCTGGATTAATACATCCACTTATCCGTATGCGTCGCAGTGAGAGACTCCCCAGCTTCTCTCCCGAGAGTATTCTCTGGATTAATACATCCACTTATCCGTATGCGCTGCTCCATCATGTCTTGCTTCACAAGACAGAGTTGTAAACCTGCCTATGTGAAATGAAATGTTGCTTTCAGGTAATTAAATGGACACAAAGGAGCTGTAGATAAATGAGAATGGTGAAGTGGAATCGAATCCTGAAAGGCAAAATCTTATATTGTGACAGTCGCTGCCAAGGTCACCGTGAAAAGGGCACGTAAACAAAAGGGGCAGAGCTGCGTTTCCACTTGAACACCCTCATTCCTAAAGTGGCCTTAGTGGTCCCATCCAGCCCAATCCACAAAGCATCAACATCAGAAATACCTGTGATTCCGATTCAGTTTGGTCTACAGAACTGCCATGGCAATGCCCAATACTGTAAATACGAACAGCAGGACAGACGGATGCTTTAAAATCCCGTCCTCCAAATGGTTCTGCGCGATAGCGGTGCTTACTCAGACGATCTTTGATCAGTTCCTTGTCCTCGGTGAACAGAGATGTTTCCGGTCGTGACGTGAGAATTTGCTCCTGCGCTTGAACTGACCTCACAAGAAAGGCACGCCAGATGTCAGTTACCTATCAGGAAGCAAATGAATTATTTGACTTGTATGAATACATGGTATTTAGCAACGCGTTGTTCTGTAAACAATGTGTCCTGCAATGCACGTCCCTGCCACAATAACCGGAGTGCCTGCTGGTTAGTGAGCTGGCTGCTGCCAAGTGGGATGTTTCACGTAGAGATCTGACCGCTCGTCTCCCAGCACCAGCTTTTTTGGAAGCTCGTTTCTCCGTCTGACTGTTAGTGTTCATCAAACTTCCACAAATCTAACTAAACCGTTATGCAAAAGCAAGTTTGGTTGAAGTTTGCACAGGGAATTCAGGCAGACTGCACAACTGCCAAGGCCTGGTTTCCACGGAAAATGAAGCTAAACCAAGGAAAGCTCATTTTTTTCCAGTTATTACAGCAGTTAGAGAGCTGTCACTTCCCTCACTTGGTCATTCGGTTCTAACAATCTTGTATCAGTCTGACTTATCGATTCTCAGCATCAACTTTGCGTGGCTCATTTGTATCCCATTGCTGCTCAGCAGCTCTTCCCTGGCTACGGGAATTCCTTGGCGACTTTCCCTTCTTGTGG